CAACATATGAAGACTGATCATTGTAGAACTTTTTTTTAGAAGGTGGAATAATATCACGGACATATACATTTACCTCAATAATTACTAATATGATTAGATAGAAGTAGATAAATATAGATTAATTTCATAAATTCTTTTAGTAAAGCTTCCTAAAAACTTCATAGATGCAATTTTGACTTTAAAATTGTTGGTAGGTCAAAAACTTAGCCAATAAGTTAATCACATGTTGGTAGCTTGTGAAAGATGTTAATTCCGTATATAGCTTGTGGAACAAACTAACCATGTCGCATATATATAGATAACTTGCCTTGAAAGTTAGGACATGTGGCTAGTAAAGTTAACATGTTTTGGAGGTCTTATAAGATATCGCCACATAACTCCTAGTTAAGAATATATATGGAAGCAAGAATGAAGCCTTCTTCATTCTTGTCAATGCCGTTCTAGTCCGTAGTCTTGTTTCAAGACTTTCTAATGTTTTTGTTTTTGGCAATAGCCATTGTAGTTAATATTACATTACTTTTTGAGTGACTTTTTAGTTCTCTTTAGTGACATATGAGCGTATTAAGGATTTTATTTCTTTGAGATTCATATCCCTGACAAGTATAATTGAGAATATTGGCATGTTTAAAGAAAGAAATACCACCAATTTCATGAGGATTTTTATATGTGACATGAAAATACATCAAGTTTAAAATTTAAAAATGATCTTTTCTTTTAATCTGATTATTGATCATAAGATTAGGGAGAAAGTACAAAAATTACTTAAAATAACTAGTTTTTAAAGAAAATTTATAGAAAGACTTAAAATTAAGTTCTTTGAAGAAGATTCATAAAGAATAATTAAGAAGTCATTTTTAAAATGAATTGAACAAAGTTTAGGAATTGTAATAGATTCAAGTAAATTAATTAATAAATTTAAGAAGAAATTTGATCAATTACCTAGATATAAGAAATACTTGGTAGACACAAAAAAGACTAAGTTGTTTTTACAAAGAACAAATGAAAATTTGGAAAATAAACTACTCTTTTATTTAATGGATAAGACATGTGAGAATGACTTCACCAATAATCAAAAAAGAAAAGAAAAGAGTCAATAAAGCTTCTTGCTAAGGATCAAAAGCTTAAGACTTGTGATTATCTAACACAATTAGATCTAGTGCATATTGCCATAATTTCTTTATTAATTCAAAAAATAAACAAAACTATCTAAGATAAGACATTAGAGGATGTGTTAAAAGACATGAAAGATTTAAAAGTGAAAATAATTGAATTAAAGAGATATCAAAAGCTTAACTTATTAAATATATAAAAAAAATTTAATAGATTTTTAGAGAGATGCATGTAGTATAATAATTAAAGCTATAAGCATAGTAAGTATGATAACTATAAATCAACAATTAAAAAAGATATTGTAGATTTGAAGAAAGGAAAGATAAGACTCTTAAGCTCTTATGAGCCTTTGTAAGTCAATTTTGGAAAAATAGATATGAAGAAATTGGTAGAAAAATAAACCAACAAAAGTATTGCCATATCTTAAAGAAAAGATAGTTTTATATTATTGTAGTAGTACAAAGAGTAGTAAATATTGTTGTTTCTCTAGTAATCAATACCATGAAGATAACTAGGTAAAAAGATCTAGTTGATGCTATAAATATTGAATTATTTTTAGATAGAGATTAATAAAATTCTAATCTATAAATTATCAATTTAAAATATTTTAAATAAAAAAAAATAAACATGCAATTTGACATCTTTTATATTTTTTTAAAAAATCATTTTTATATAACAAAAAAATTAATTAATTACAAATCCTCTCTTAATATTGATAATTAGACTAATAAAATAATTTATCAATTCCTTAAGAATTAATGGTATTTAGACTCTATTTAAAATGTATGTTTATTGATTGTTTAGATTTGACATAGTAATATATTTTTCTATATGTTTTATTAAAAAATTTATCTAAAATTAAAAATCATTTTTTTTTTCTTTTTTTTTTTTTTTTTTTTTTTTTTTTTGTAAAAAAATAGAATCAATTAAATAAAATAATTTTATTTCAATACAAATCATGCTTAAATGCAACTAAAAAGTTATATTTTTTTTGTTTATAAGTTAATAAATAATGATTCAATCCTTTTTTAATAGATAAAAATATAAAATTTATTTAATAATATTGAAGCTTTTTTAAATTAAGATTTTTTTTGAAAAAATCCTAATTTTTTCTAGAATAAGCTTAGAGAGATGTCCTAAAATAAGTTCCTAGTGGTATTCTTTTGTATGGTTGGAAGAAGTACTACATGGTACAATCTGTGTGGAGGAATACCAATCTACAGTTATATTAGTCACATCATAATATGAACGTCAAATTTACCATAGAGAAGGAGTTACAAATTCCTTGGAAATCCTCTATGGGAACAAAGTTTGGCCTTATGTTAAATCTATGATATGAAAACATTCACCAAGTCCTATCAATATGATGCTTATTTTATGAGAAGCTTGATCACAAAGAAGTTAATCTTATAACACATAAAAAAAGAGGATTGTGAATGTAAAAATATTTTTAATTCTTTTCTACATAGAAAATATCATGGTGCATATAAAGTCGCAACATGCCAAATTATGAATAAAGTACAATGTCCTCTCAAATACCTCAAAGAAGCAGTTCTTTGACTGGGTGAATTTCAAAAACATCCTTATAGCTCATTTTGAGACCAAGAAGGCACTCACATTTACAATCAATTGAGACAATGTAGACGTGGTTATTAGTGACATGTTGTTCAATATGGATGATGAAAAATTTGTGCCAACATATGAATAAGAATTGTCAATTTTTAAATTATTCAAAGTTAAAAACAATAATTAAGTTGAACTTGGTAGAGAGTGACATCTAAATCGCAAAGCATACAAAGTGGAAATCAATTTTTCACAGCTATTGTATCTTGTGATCAACTTCATTTCTTATGGAGACTTCTTTTGAATGGCAACACATTTCATGGATGTCACAAAGACCATGTGCCACACGAAAAGCTTTAGTGGATATAGTGACAATCGTGTCACTTTGTTTGTGATAATAATTTGTGCTATGAGTTTACAAAAAATCATTGAGCTCTCCTACATGCAGTGGATATTTTTATTTTTTATTTATTTATTTATTTTTTCATTCTTAATGTGAGTTCAAAGTATGGCACGTTTTATTTTATTTTTTGAGTTTGATTTTAACATCAATTGAAATTATACAACCACTACCTTCTTGCTATTCCACTTTTTGGTAACAAGACAACCAAAGTAATCTTTGCTGTAGATTCAAAACTTTTGGATGTTGTTGCTTCAAAATGGATGACACAACTAGTTGGAATTAATATGGATGGTGAGCAAATGATAACTAGATAAATTTTTGGTATTGCAGCAAGGATAATTGAAGCAATTAGTGATGGAATTGTATAGATGTGATATGCTCTACATCAACTTGATTTCATGATTCAAGCCAAGTATATCAAACTATATAATGACTAATTTGTCAACATCTTGACATGCCTTGTTTCTTATCTTTGGCAATAATACAATCTCATTAGGAGGATGATTGTATATGCTTGAAATTCATGGTCATATAGTAGTTGTCTATAAAAAAATTGAGTGGATTTTGTGGCAAGGATGTGTAGTGATTTGCGAGTACCTTGAATTGAAGCTACTCACATATATTCTTCTCCTTTCTTAATGGATGGTATTACTTATACTCCATGATATTCCAGAGATAATCTCCACCATTGTAATATGCTTGCAAGAATTGAGTACCCTTTTGAATCAACAAAAAATCTAACTCAAAGGCTCGATTTAGTCCTTAAAAAATTTGTGTAAAGTGTAAGGTCCATACAATGCGGAAACACTAACCATTGCTTACACTGCTCCGAATCTGATCATTTAAGATTAAAGCACCTTTGTGATGAACCTCATGGCTTTACTGTCCCTAACTAAGGTTTGTAACATGGTAGCCTTGTTTGTTAGGCTCATCAATGACATTGCTTCTATTATTGCTCAACGCAATCGCAACAACAATGCCAGTGATGAAGACATTCTAAAAGTGCTGCCTCATAATTTGTATGCACTACAAACATCTTTGTAGTACATTTCTATTCGTCAATACATACTACAATTGGAATTGGCTAGAAAGGATGTTTAATCCATTGAGGATATTAAAAATGACCATCAAGATATGGTGCTCACCTATCGCAAGGAGATGACCTTCAAGGATGCCATTGATAAGTATTCTCATTTATGAATAGAATTTCATATTGAATGGGCTCATTATAATGTCAAATTTCCACAACTTCAAAAAATTTGTAGTACATTGGCCTCTATTTTTCCTAACATAAGTACTTTTGAATTTGACTTTTCTATGATTGGGTAGAAGAAAGATGAGTATTGGCAGTGCTTCACAGACTTTCTGCTTGAGAATATTTTACATTCTAAACAATTTGACAAAGTTTGTAAAATTTGACAAGAATGAATGATTTTGGACAACTATATAGATGAATTTCATCCATTTCTAATTTACATAAAATAAAACCTGACCAGGACCTTAAAATAAGTTAAATTTTATATTTCAAGGAAAGTCCTAGTTTAAAGAGGCATGGTGATTTTGAATCATACCTAAATGTGACCAAATTGTTTATCCAACTACTATAAAAAGTCAAAGGTGCATAAACTATATACCTAACCTCCTATCTTTCAAGACCAACTAAAACACAGGCCGTTCTAAAGTGTCAGGATACTGGACAATGCATTGGGTATACCCCTTCAGAGTCGAAATTAAACACAAAAAGAACGCTGCATGCAAGTGGTGTAGAAGATCGCCAGGTTGGATGCAATTCTGAGGAACTTGTACACAAATCTCGACAGACTCGGGAGGAATCGGCAATCACAAATCCATTCATCGAACAGATACAATGCCTGGCGTCATCAGCATAGCCTGCAAGTATTTGCACAGCATATTGCACAGTGCATGACACGAAACAGTATGAGTAAATACATACAAAGATATCAAACGTCCATTGCACCTGGCCACGGCAGCATTCTGAACAACGTGGCGCCGCCCTCATCGATCATCCGAAGTGCGGCACTTATTTACTAAGCAAACTTTCAAGCTGTGTTGCTGGGTTGGTGGCTTCCATCCAAGCAGCACTACATATCAACACTACGTCCACCGCCCACTGGGTGGGAGGCAAATGCAAAACACAGTAGCAAACTCCTCCTATACTGTAAGCACAGTTGCTGACCAGAAACTCTGAACTCTCCAAGGATCAACTAGCAAGTATTGACCGGGCAGATATTGCCACCGCAGTCTACCCAGTAGTCGGACATCCACCCGATGGTCGAATCGTATTTTGCCCACAGCCAATAGCAGTCGCCGTATACGCATTGCCCTTGACGCTTGCAATAAACCGACACTTTCTTGCCCTTCGGGACTACTATCACACCGGGACATTTGCTGTTGTCTGACGTCGGAGGGTTGTCGGTAATTCCGTCATTGTTTTTGTCGCAATCACGAATCCACACGTTTCCTTTCGTATAGTAATCAGCCGCGCTTGCAGTCTGAGCCAAGAGCAACGCGACGAAGATGGTGGCAGCAACCACAATCATAAGCCGATGCCTGCGCAAGGAGAATTCATGACATCAAAATGGTCAGTGGAGTGTACAAATATCATGGCTTTCTGCGTGGTCTGTTTCAAGTCTCCCTTAAGCATGTAAGAATAAGACTTTGAGCGATCCAGGAGAACACTCACTGCAGCAGCTTCTGGGATCCCATGGCGATGGAAGATGGCCAACGCTGTCTCCGACGTCGAAATTACGATGTGGTCAGTCACAACACGATTCGGAAACAGATTGTGAGTAGCGCTTGGCAGCAAGGCCATTATATACTCTTGCTCGCCCACTCACCGGTCTTCCCGACGCCCTCGATGATCTTCCTCTCCCAGATGGACAGTTCCCACTTGCGGTACAGACGACCCCAAATCCACAAAGGGTCAACATCGATGCTGATGATAAGAGCGCCTGCGAAGGCAAACTCCACGCTCCAAGGCCACTTGACCTCGATCTAGGCTGCGATGTCAGATTTTCAACCTTGCTGTGCCACTTGTGAAGCTCCACACACACACATGAATGCCATCCCCAAATTTCAACCTACAAATTCAATGTTACAGAGTCAAATTCCACATGTACGGTCAAGGCCAGCGTACCTCAGTCTCCCCTGCGGTGTCTCATCTTTGCACTATTTTTTGTGTGTATTTTGGTGAATCTGGCTGTCTATCCATCAAAGCCTGTTTGATATTCAGTAGTGGACTTGACGTGCCAGCAACAAAGTCAGGCAGAAGGATCTCGTGGCGTCGTTATCCAAACTGCCTCCGCCGCTCGTACAGTGCCACGGATAGGTTCCGTACCCATAATTCAACCTCAGAGAGGAGAATTGGACAAATGCAGAATACCGCAAGTATGACGGTAACACACCGCTTTGTCTCGCCGTCTCTCATTATTCCGGATACGAGATACAATACACAGTGCCCTGTAGTATTGTTATCATTATTTCTATTGTTCACATGCGGTTGCTCGACTTTTCAACGTGGTCGAGTAACCGCATGAATTATATAAGATTATTAGTTGTGCAATTTTTTATTGTAGTAATTTATATTCTTCATTTTTGAAAACAAATCATGCAATTAATAGGATTAAAGAATTAAAAAAAAAGTCCATATTCCAAATTTAGTCCTCAAGAAATAAGATCAACTCAAAGTACATTATTCACCCAACTTAGAACTATGAAAACATGCACCAAGTGTCTTAAAGGATTAGGAGCTTAAGATTTTAAAATGCTCTACAAATATTTTCTATGAGATAGTGCATATAGAAGACATGATGTAACTGTAGAAAATACGCCTCAATACCTTCAGTCAATCTTATTTGGTGGTCACAAAAAAAGATGTATTTGCATTCAAGGTGTTTTTCAATAGCAGCTTATAAGTTTTATAAGAACCACATCCACTTAATGTCATCTTTTGTATCTACAATTGCAAAAGAAAAAAAGGAACAATCTACCTTTTGCATCAATATCAATTGCCTCCAGCAAGATTCCAACATATTTACCTTTGAGATGCATATTGTTGATACCAATAATAGAGAAACAATAACAAAGTATTACAAGTTGCAATTAAGTGTTTTAAAAATGTGGTAGAAATATTCAGCATTCTATTCAAAAAATTTTACATTTCATAGATTGAACTAAAGCTTGTCTTCATAGTATTGAAGAAGTGATTGATATCCATTCTCAAATGATTACCAGATGTCATTGTGTACTTTTTTATGACCTCTTCATACTTGCATGTAAGGTAATAAAATGCCATATTTGCAACAAAGATCTTTGATTATCTTTCTTGAATAGTATGTTGGAATATCTTAAATTTTTCTGTAAATAATTGACATCACTCTAACAATATATGCATGTTGATTGCTCAAATGTTATGCTCTTACACAAGTGTGTTTGACTGTAATGCAAAAGGCTTGAATGACTTGGAGCTATGAAACATGAAGGTACCACTTGCAACCACCCCTTGTTGCAAGAGTATAATTCAAAGTGTATTATTTACAATAAAATTTGACAACCTTTCATCTGTAAATTTTTATGATTGAATTATGCATGAGTGCAACTTTGCATACATTGCTATTCTCAAAATTAATATTAATTAACTGAGCTACATAATGACAAAGTTATGTATAAATTTTGAAGACACATTGGCATTTGTACAAATAAAAAAGCTTATATGGACATACAAATAAGTTTTTATTTATTAGCAACTATGATTAAAATAGAAATAAAACTTAAATTTTAAAAAAATCATATAGAAAGAGGTGATTCAAACATCATAAAGTTTATAGCTCTGAAAAAATATATTATATAGAATTAAATAATACATGATGCATAGTAAAAATAAAAAATAAAAAATAAAAAAATATTTTTAAAAAATAGTCACTTTAAAGATTATATAACTAGTTTACAAAGAATTAAGTATTTTTTTAATATTATTTAAAATTATTTTTCATATTTATAAATATAGTAAATTAGATTAATTTCAAGAAAAGATTATATATCTAAAACTTTTAAGTGGCTAAAACTACATTTAAATATCTAAATACATACTTTTTGGTCTTATAATACATATGCAGAAAACAAGATTCTAAAAAAATTATCCATATCATTTGCTTTAATAATTTTTATTCTAAAACTTGTATATTTATTATTTATAATTTATTTTATTACATGTCTATTAATAAATAGTAAAATTTATTTAATTTTGATTAATTTAATTCTTCTACCAAAATCATTAGTTTTTTTCAGAAAAATAAGATTATTTTTAATAAACAAATAATTTTCAAAAATCAATAACATCTATCTTTGTAAAAAATTAAAAAATAAAATTATCATATTAAAATTTTTAATTTAGATTAAACTTTATGGATAATTATTTTAACTCTTAGTTATTAAAAAAAGTTTCAAAATTTTAAAATAAAATTTTAAATTTAATGTATTGATTAAAGTTAGATGCACCATTTTTTTATACAAATATATACTTATAAGCAGAGGAATGAATTATTTTTTCTATTAATTACATATTTATTATCTTATATATATATATATCGAGTACTTCAATATATATCCATATATATTAAAATGTTCTATTAAGAAAATTGCTAGATAGATACCTCCATTCTAATGTATGAACACTCTCCTTGTGACACTAATATTATACCACTATTACAATTGTTTTAACAAGATGGACATTAATAAGGCCATAAGGTATTAAAAATAAAAGTTAAAAAATAAAAAACAAAAAAAATCCACAACACAAGAACATAAGCAACATAAAAGTTAATCAAAGCAAATATAAAAAATAATAAAAAGGGGTGTTCACCTAGCAAAACTACTTCTTGAATACCTCTCTTTATTTATTTGTTTGGTATGAATTTTATGCTGCTAATGTTTCTATGTTGTAGGTTGCTGATTTTTTTGGTTTTTTTGTTTTATATCTTTCAACTTCATTAGTGTCCATCTTGAAAATTTTATAAAAGGAGTGTGTTATTGATTTGATACAATATAATAACCTCATAATAAAAGGAAGGTGTATATTTAATGATTTTTTTATTTTAATTATGATAAATATGTCTATTAAATGTGATTTTAAATGAAACAGGTTTGAAGTATAATTACAAAATAATTAATAACTTTTCATAATTTTATTTTAGAAAAGCTTGTACTCTATTTATAAGATTTTAAAGATGAATTATTAATTTTTTGATCATTTGCTCAAAATTAAAAAATAAATTATAAAAATGATCATTTATAATCTAAGCTAAAGTTTGAAATAAGATATCAACTATAGTTGTTATTAAATAAACAAAAATATATACTTTTTAAGAAGTTGGACTATTAGAATTTAGGCACAATTGATTAGAAGTTGTTTTATTTAATTTTTGATTGAACTTCTATCTAATATATAAATCTATATATATATATATATATATATATATATATATTTAAAAGACTACCATAAATTATATATTGTATATAAAAAATCTTCTAATACTAAGTTCAACTGTAATAAAAAATAAGTTCAAGTAAAAAAATCAAAGTAAACCTAAAGAGTAAAAGATCATACCTTGTAAGTGATATAAGAAAAATAACTTAAAAATATTCTATCAAAGTATACAAAAAATAAAATAAAATAACAAAAATAAATAAAAGTTTAGTGGTAGTCTTTTGTTTTTACTTACAACTTAATTCTTTTTAGTTTTATTATTGAGGCTTTAACATAACAAATAGAAATATTTTTATATTATCTTAAGATATTAGATTTTAATATGATTTTTTTAATAGCTATACTTATATTGATTTTTTTTAAAATATTCATAAATACACAAATATATTTATCTTAGAATAAGATTCCTTAAGTCTTAAATATGACTTATCTACAAAACAATTTGATTTAGATATCTTTAGTTATTTATTTTTAAGCATTGATTATAACTATACAAATTAATAGTATTAAACTTAGTAGTAAGAGAGTACTTACTATAGATGTTTTAAAGACCTAAAGTTATAGTGATTTAATAGAATAAATTTATTAAGTCAAAATTATTTTAACTATACTTATTAAATAGACACAATCATTTATTTTATAATTGTTAAAAAATATGAATTATTAATATTTTTAATATATTATTTTTTAATTAAAAATATGAAGAAATAGATTATTAAAACTTTTTATAAGATTTATGGTTAAAGAAGGAAGTAATGTAAAAAATATACTACAAAATTTAATATTATCTTTCATAATATTTAAGAACCTTAGAAAATCTATTAGATATTTGGAATAATTTTTGTAAATCTCTATAACCTTTTATAGGTATTTAGAAGTTTCTTAGGACCTTCTATAGTAATTTAGAAACTTCCACATTATTTTATGACCTTTCAAAATATTTTATTATATTTTAAAAATTTATATGGAAGATTTTCTAATTTTTTAGAACATTCTATATTTTTTAAAAACTTATAAAAACTCTATAGGATTTAGTTCTCATAATATAAATAAAAAAATATATTATAAGCTCAAAGAGCACTTGCGAAAGAAGCTATGTGTAAAATTCACAAAATGAGTAGAATGATCAATGTCACAATTAGAAATTTTCAAAGTTTTCTTTAACTAAGCTTATAAAAGCGTTTTAGAATCTATATTAAATTTGAATAAGGATAAAAGAAGATTTTGATGAAGAACTCTTGAGATCAGACTTTATGTCTAATAAAATCAACTCCTATGTTACAAAATCAACAAGTTCATCCTTGTGAACTCTTATTTCAGAGTTATGAGGTCTAAAGCACATATTTGGAGAGACAAAGCTCTAATACTATGTGATGACAATAAAGAAAGAAAATAATAATGTATTAAATTTAGTAATACCTGAAGACTATATATATCCATAATAAAAGAGCTAAATAAAACGTTAGACTAAAGAGACTAAAAAATGTGATTGATCAAAACAATCATGACCATTGTATGATTAGGATTAATGAAGATGCTAAGCTGACTAAGGTAGACAACCTATTTTTGATAACTTAAGTATTTCAACATATACCCAATAAGTGTAAAAATGGAAAAAAAAAATCCACATAAGAAAATAGAAATCAAGAGAATTCGGAAGTTGATCAGAAATCAAAAGTATTTTCACACAATTCGGCCCAAAAATAAAATTTATATAAATGTTTGAGCTAAAGATTCTTTGTGATCCATTTTGGACACACAGGCCTACCTAATTCCGATTAGTGGTGGGTTACAGAATTGAAAATCCAACTTTTACAAAACTACAATGTGTGACACCTATCAATGCTATCAAGAGAAGTGAGAAACCTAATTATACTATTATTTCATCCTAATCAATCAACAACTTCCACATATTGATAGTTCACACAAACCCATGCCAAGTACAATGACTTTAATTTATCACTAACAACTTAACATCATTTTAACTAACCCACAACCTATTTTCAATGGATAGAAACTTTTTGATGGATGTCAGATCTAGTTGAAATAGCCCACCTTAAATGTTGGAAATGGAAGGTGGTTGACAATGGGTCCACAACTTTATTGTGTCTTATCCACTTGAATTTTATAACTTTCTAGTTTTCGACATGCAGGCTAGTAGGTTGATGGGTGTCAGCAGTGAGCACTTTTAAATTCATTCCTCTGGAAATCATGAGGTCTCCGCGCGGACACCACGTTGTAAACTCGGATTAGTGCAGATTGGAGTGGTGTGGTACTATGACTTGGGTTCACGCAGATCACGGATTTTTCTGGGGGAGGGCCAAGACATGGACGTCGTTCTTCGCACCTCAAACATTTACTGAGACAGGGAAGCAGATAGTCTGAAGGGTTCCACCGAAAACTTCATCCAGGAGGTCACACAATAATGCATCTAAATTTATTATACAAAGACACTCGCAGCTCTTGACAACGTACAGCTCTATCAATGAAGAAGTCAGCAGCATAGAACGTTATTGGTAAGATTCGTGAGGGTTTCATTTCCCGTTTGACTGGACTATTTCGTAATAACGTTAGCAAGAATCAAAGTTTCACCCCTACAAGCTAGTTTGAGAATGTACCCCAAAGGTGATTGAAGGAGATACTTGCTACAGATTGGCATAAATGCGTGGAGGCTTCGGTTCTGAAGTGGGAGCAGGCTTGGATGCCACAGGTCTTGCCTTGGTCATTATTTGCTTGCAGAATCTGTCCAGGATCTGAGTCTTTTTCTTCAGCTCGGCAACGAGTAGAACGGGGTTAGCATTGGGAAATGCATCGTGTTGTCGCTTCTTGCCCTTCAACCACTCTTCTGCCTTATAACAGTCGCTGATTACCTTTCCTTTCGCAGCAGCATGAACGTGGTCAAACTTAAGGTCCTTCATTTGCGCAGCTTCACTGGAGCTACTGATACAGTGCATCAATTCACTAGAAGCGGGACCCCCGAGCTACTCTTCTCTTTGCCTAGTCTCAAGTGGATCACCAAGCTTCTTCAGTTCCGCAAGCCTGGCAGTGTGAAAATTTCTGATTTCATCATCTCCATCTTCATACAACCAATCTTCGGTTTCTCGCAGCCTGACCGACATTTCTTCACGTTCATAACCTGTTACATAATCTTGGAGTTTGTCGCACAACATATTTCTCATGCCGTATATGTAAGCCTTGACAGCATTCTTGCTCTACATTGTCTCCATAATGCGGTCCTGCAATGCCATCTCATTCTCTTTCTCAATGGCCTTTGACAATTCAGGCTGTGAAAGACCACCGTGGATGACCTCGAACACAGGTACATCTACACACTTCTACTACTTCTTCTTCTCAATTTCTTGTTTTGGTGTCTTAGTTACCATTTTAGCATCCCCCCTCTGCTGAATTGTTATTTGCACTGGCTGTGGCTACATGTTCGGGCTTGGCGTCAATGGGAGAGACAATACTTTCTCACCGAACCCATCTTTAAGCACTTCATTCTTCGTGACCAGGATCTCAACCTCTTCTTCAATAATGGTAGCGGCTTCTGATGCCACAACTCCATGCAAATCGAGCTTGATCATAACTTTGACCTTGGCTTTCGTTGCAACATTATATATATATATATATATATATATATCTATGTATATAAAATAAAAACAATTAATATTAATAAGATAGAGTTACAAACAATTAGAAGCAATAAATACTTAGTTTTAAGAAGATTAAGATGTATATAATTTTAAAGAAAAAATAAATCCTTGAAATAAAAAATATTAAAATATTAGTAAATAAATAATGGGATTAAGACTAAATTATTAGAATAAAATAGGCTTAATAAAGGATAGAATTATAAATTAAGTAATTAGGATTACAAATTTTTGAGGAAAGTGCTTAGTGAAAAAAGATTAAGACAAAGAGTACAATAAAATAAAATAAAATATGGATGAAATATATTCTGGTAGGTTAGAATTGTAGTTACATGAAGTGGTTTTAAAAATTCTTTATTTTTAAATTAAGAAGCCTGTAATTAATTAATAAAATAGAGGATTTATAAACTCAAAGAAGCATTTCAAATCTATTTTATATTAGAATTCTTGTGAATATTCAGATTTTATATTTTTCTTGTTAATTCGTTTTATTTTGATTATCAAATCCAAGCTTTGTAATAGGTTTAGAATTTTATAAAAACATTTTCTATTTTTTAAAAATAATTGTAAATGTTTAGGTGTTTGAGTCATTAGCAATCACTAAAGCTTTATTACTGAATTATATTATGTTTAAAATATAGATCGAATAATTATTTTTTAAAATATCATTGATCTTTTATTTTATTTGGAGCTAATATAAATAAGATATGAAATTTCAAAGTAATAGTTATATTTTTAACACATATATTTAATGTTATATAATAAAATTCTCAAATTAGTACCAAATAATCTTTTATATAATATCTTATATATTTCATATATATCTTGATTTTCTAAACCTAATTACAAGACCCTATTTAAAATTTCTATAAATAAATAATATATTTATAAGTTAGATATCTTAGATGCTAAAATAAAAATAAATAAAAAATCTATTGCTAAAAGATATAGATTCTTACTTATTTGTATCAGAAGCACTTTTTAACCTTCAATAAATTGCAAGAGAATATATAATAAATAATAATAATCTAAGAAGATAATAAAAAATAAATTTTATTAGATTAATATGTAAAAAAGATATAAATAGAATATTAAATTTACATAAAAAATCTCTTTAAAAACTAACTATCAGATAATTACACCTTAAATAAAATTAAAATTGATATCATTTAATATAAATATCTAACTATAATTTTTAATAAAATTTTAGTTATAAATTTTAATTATAAATATTATAAATATTTAAAAATCAAATTTCTAAGTGATTATTGAAAAAGAGTGATTTAAAATCTAGCATCTAATAATTTTCTTCTACCATTTTTCAACTCATCACATACTTTTCCAATATGGCATTTTTGCACCTAATTAGATTGATGCATTGTATAGCAAGATACAATACAAATAGTTCTTAGAGTATTATTCATTTAAATTTAGGTTTTTACATAGATTTAGAAATTTAAAAACTAAACAGCAATCAATGCACCATTTATTAACTTTTCATTAATCTTTTTTGACTTTAAAACATGTCAAGAGAAGAGTTGCTAAGAATTAAGAAAAATCAACTTCCAACATCTAAATTTTTATGTGTTGAGGAATACAACTTTTAAATGATCAAAGGTAAGAAAAAATTTACTATCACATTTTTTATGCCAATTATTTACTCTATTTCATCTATTACTTCAAGGACAATAAACCAACATCAAAACCAAGTAGATACAATAAACCATTCCAACCATTACTATGAAATTATCATGATATAGGATACTTTGGGTATACTACTAGCTTAATTTTTATTTATTTATTTATTTATATTATTATTCAAAAAAATACAAAATTTATTTTTGGTTTTAAATTTTATAAATTTTGGCTTATTAAAACCAAAATTTATATTATTCTGATAATATAAAATTTAATAGCACTATTAAATTGGAATTCCACTTTATAGTTAAACAATTTAAATTGCTGAAGTAATAAATAACTCTTTACTTGCAATTTTTCTATTTTTTTTTAAAAAACTTGGTTTAATGTTTCTTGATTTGTTAAAAATTTCACTTTAAAAGGCTTTTTGATAGATGCCTATAGTACTTAAATAAATATAAGTAGATAGAAGTGAATAAAAATACATTAGATAAATAATATTTTAATAATAAAACTTTGAAGAAATATATATATAGATATATATAGACTCCTAAAGATATGCCATGAAGATATTTAAACTTATTATACAAGTTTATACTTTTAAAAAATCATATTAAAAGCAACTTACAACTTAATCTTTGGACCACACATTGTGGTTTCTTGAAAGCTTTTAAAAGATTTTGATAGCTAATATATATAGAAGAAAGACTATGATTATTTTTAGTCTTATAAATATTTTTTTGTATTATACTTTTTATTTAAGACTCTCTAATTTCTTCATGGTTAGTACTAAATATTTTATTTTATTTTCTATCTAATACCTATCTCTCTCTCTCTCTCTCTTTTTTTTTTTTTTTTTTTTTTTTTTTTTCTTCTTTATTTTTCATCAATTCCATAAGATTTTAATGTATTATTTTTGTCAAATTTTTTTCAAAATTATGTCAATGATAGTTTAATAAGAATATTATTTTTTAAAGTTGTTTTTCTTAAAAAATAAGTAGATTTTTTTACTTCTTAGAAAATATTGTTATACTTTAAATATTTTTGATCAAATTTTTTTAAAATAATAATTTATTTTATAATATTAATTATTATTTTAAAATAAAATATATTATTTTACTTCTCTTGTAACTATAGTTGATACAAAATCTTCTAAACTCAGATTTTTTTTTTTTAACTTATTAATTTGATAGGAGATGATATAATTGAGATTTTTTGAAGTTATCATTAAATTTAAATTTACCTTGTTTAAGAACTTTTTTTATTTGATCAATCTTAAATTAATTATTCAAAGTATTTTTATATATTAATACTAAATTCTTCAATTTCAAATTGGCTACAACTTCCAACATATTTAAAAAAAAAATTGGAATTGATTATTATTTTTGTTAAATTATTTAAATAAAACTTCTAATAATACTTAAGTTTTTAACTTTAAATTAGAAAAATCCTCAAAATACCAAAGTTGCAATTAAAAACCATCAAATAATACATCTAAGTTAGACATTGGTATATACATATAAATACCAAAGTCTAAATTACATACTTGTAGGATAGCAATGAGGGTTTCCAACCATAATCTGTATCTAATGCCTAAATCTAAAGTAAGATTATTTTAAAAATATTTTTAGAATTTCAACTAATAAGTACTTGATTTAAAAAAAAAAAAAAACATGTTAAATTCTTCTTATTCTTTTTTAAATATTAATTCTCTTTAACTTTCAATTTCTTACATTGGTGATTATTTTGAACTAAGAATCTTTTTACCAGCTTTAAAATCAAGGTTTCACTATCTTAGAAAAAAATATAAACAAATTATGGATATTATATTTGAAAGACATGATAATAGATTTATAACCATTGCAAATATTTTAAATCTTTTTGATACTCTTTGAAAAAAAATTCATATATTAGTAATTTCAAATATAAAAGTATTGTTACTATGTTTGTTAAAATATTTAATATTATGGTTTAATTCCTACATCAAAAAAAAATTATAATTGAATGAAGTAAGTATAAGTTGATTAATTTTACAAGTAATTTTTAATTTTTTTCTTATCTCAAATTTAGAAGATTGAAAGATGAACACACCAAAGAAGTTTAAAAGAACAAGATTAAATATTATATTTTATAAATATTCCATAATTTAAATTTATTTATAGATATATTTTTATAGATACTTAAAGAATAATAAAAAAAGAATAATAAGAGAAAAAAAATTTAATCTTTACAAGAAGGTTGTTCAACTGTTATTTATACTATATAATTCCAAAAATTTATATATAATGTAGATTAAAAAAATAAGGCTTAAGTAAATCAAATTTGATTTGATTCAAAAGATAACATCAAATATTTATTATTAACAATATCAAAAGTAAGTTCATTAGAGTGATTTATTACTTAAGAAATTGGATACAACCACCAATTCTTTAAAATAAATTAAGAACAAAGATTTCATTAAAGATAGACAAATTAGATGATAAAAAAAATGAAAATGAAAAAAATTATTATTAAAGGCCAAAATCTGTATAAATTAATAAAAGACAATTCAAGTAGTTAATAAAATTTAATTTAAAAAATTAATATTAAAAAAGACAAATTTTATTATAGAAAGTTGTATTTGCATTATAAAAATAAGTTATAAAATAAAAGGCTTTTATATCAACTTAAAAAGATTCAAGGCATAGAAGACACCCTTAAATAAAATAAAAATTATAAAGATTGAAAAAAAAGACATCCAATTATAATATGAACTTTACAATTAAAATTTTTAAACCTCAAGCATTATATATAGATCTATTAAGAAGAAGAATCCAATGAAAGTAAATAATCAGGTGAGACTTTTTTCAAAGAAGTATGAAAAAATAAAAGTAAGAATATATATATATATATATATATAAATAAATTGGAATGGCTATTGCCAAAAGATAAAAAAACTAAAGACTCTTAAATCTAAATTAGAGCAAGAAAAGACTTGATAATAATGAAAAAGACTTTACTCTTGCTTCTATATATACTAGCTACCTAGGATCTATGTGGCAACATTATATAGGACCTCCAACATGTGTTGACTTTATAAGCGACATTTCTTTACTTGCAAAGCAAGTTTTCTATATATAAAACAATTAACTTATTCCATAAGCTATCTATATATTATCATGTTGTGGTTTGGCCACTATGTGAAATTAATGCATATGTGTATTAAATATATTATTTACTATACAATATAATAAAATTTATATTATTAGATTTTTTTTATTATAAAATGTAATTAAATTAGTACTTTGAAGTGGTTATTTTAAAAGAGCTATTAATGAGATTGATTTTATATTGATAATAGTCTTATATATTTAGAGCTACCTTTATTAGGTATTGGTGACTCTTAAAAT